GAACCCTTTTCTCTATAGGGAGTTTGTAAATCACATTCTAGCCCTCAGGGTATCTGTTTCTTCAGGATCCTATTTACGGACTGAACGGGATAGAAGTAATACATTCTTTCCAAACATGAAAAAAGGTTACTTTGGTGAGGAAGTTACCGACTGTTTTCAAACAAGGAAACGAAGAAAGAGCTTACTATATTTAAAAAGAAGTATTGAGTTACATCATTATTTTTCCATGGTGCCTTGCACATTCTGTTGGGGAAAATGTAATTTCCAGCAATGTAGAGAAATTGCCACAACAGCTTTTGGCAACAGAAATGTGGCTGCTAGAATGAAATTACTGTTGCCTGTTAGGAAATCCTTAACCTGTCATTTCCCTTTTTTACTCCACAGGGATGTGGAGAAGGGTGAAGTAGCTTCATTCCCATAAATGTCTTACTTTTTAATGGACTAGGTGTTAAGTTCATTTCCCCACAGTAGCCCCTTCACGACTCTTTACCATGGAATCTTATTACAGACCACTCTCACCTAGCATTTTGCTTTTTGCTTCATACTTATTGGAGATTTTACCCCCTTCCTTTTGTGTCTGTCTGTAGCACAAGGGCTGGCTATCTGCAAGCACTGATAGATGGCTTAGGCTCATACATTACAAAGTTTAAAACCTGATTTTAAGTTTGTTTCCAGTGTGCTGTATGATTTCTGTATCCATGAAGGCATCACCCTTCCCTTTTGTTTATTCTTTTCCCCTGGAGGGGAGGTGACCTTTTATGTATAAATGTGAAGGTTTTTTTAATGTTTCTATATAGAAAGACATAAAAATACCCTGTAACTTTCATAAAAAATTTTTGGGTCAGCCTAACTTTATAGTCCTTTTATTTCCTTCTACTATGTAAGGAGGGTGATTTGTTTTATTCTGTAAGATTATAGCCTATAGCCCATCCATTCAGAGCCAGGATAGTCATAGCTGCTTCCCTTCCCTGAAATCTGTGGGGCAGCCATCTAATTGTCTTGATACGCTTCCATAATACATATACACACGTATATTCTTTTTCAGATTCTTTTCTATTATAGGTATTCAAAATAAGCTTTTGTTTGGATTTTGCCTTTCCCTGAATTTCAGTTGACTTTTGTGATTCTGAGTAGTCATTTGTGATTATCCTTACCGTTCTTCTCTGTGTGGTTCAAAAAAAACATGGTCATGTAGCATCAGTTGACTGATGTTTCATCTGTTCTTTCAGACATCCTCATTACTAAATGTAAATACATTTCTCCAGAGATGTGTAATTCCCACCGGCTGTTTTGGGATCCTTCATAATTCCCACTAGGAGGACTTACTGAAGTACTTTAGGACTTCTCTGGGTTTTTTTTTTTTTTGGTTCTCAAGTGGAATTAGAGAAACTAAAGGAGGCTATTGTGTGCTTTATGTTGTCAGCATGACTTTCTCTAGTCAATCATGAGACCTCTTATTTTTGAACTCAAAGTGGTGGCATAGATGACTTAATTTGTTTTTTTGTAAGTTTTTTTTTTTTGAGATGCAAACATGTTGATTTGTTTTTATTAGAGCTTCACAATTCTGTTACTGGCTGTAGCATCTCTGAAAGTAATTTTTCTAACGATATTTTTCTGTTGCCTTTTCCACTCTAATTAGTCATTCTATGGAGAATAGAAATTGTTAGATTTATTTCTTCTACATTAGGGTTCTTGTGGAGGTAATGGGTGGAAGATATGGAATTTCAAAGATAAAACTTTACTTTTTTCGTATTTGTAGTGTGGCTCAAATACACAGTTGCTTCACGTATTTCAAGAAGACTTCATCATAGGATATAAACCACATAAGGAAGAGGTGGAGAAAAAGGAAGCAGAAATATTTTTTCAGCCATCACAAGGTACTTTTAAAAAAGAGCCTTGAGTTTGATACCTTAATCTAAAATAAAAAATCCTCCAAACTTTCATTGAGTATCGATCTTTATATCAGAATTCATCATTCTTCATGGTTTTTTGGCAGATACACCTGTTAGTCTGTCAGAATTGCTTTTTTGTAGGTGAAGAACACGTTTGGGTAAAAGTTACCTGTTGAAAGGCAGTTTCACTTGTGACATATACCCTTTTGCCAAGAAATATTACCTGTGAAATTTAGTGTAACTGTTAAAAAAATCAACTTTGGTTGTTCAGCTCTATTTTGATTTGATTCCCTGTGGTATCTTAAGTAAACCAATTAATTTTAGTATAAGTTTTAAAAATTTCCCAGTAAGTTGATAAACACTGTTGATGAATAGAGGATGTAAGATGTTACATTGTGTGCTATACCAGGACCCTCATGTCCGCTCAATGTGAATTAAAGGTGCCGTCTCGTAGTTTACCTCTCTGAAGGGTTAGTGTTTCTTTTTTCTCATTGTGAAAGAAAGTAGTTGTCTCTAAGGCCTTTCAAGAACAAACCATAAGATGTTTAGTTTAAACTTTATTATTTAGCTTAAAATGTTCCTTTTAGAAATTATAACCTTGTAATTATGAAACTTTCATGTTCTATTTGAAAATGAAATTTAAAAATAGAACAACACACTGAGTAGAATACACTCTATTTGAAGGCAGGAAAGACAG